GGCATTCCTACTTTCTCGTGCCAGCATAATCTTCATACGACGAAGTAAACAAATTCATTAATCCATGCGATAACTCGTCTAGACACTCGCGCGCACAAAAATACCTTTTGAGGAAAGACGCGTAATTCGTCGGCCCGCCACAGGTTTTCCCCGCACTCGCGCCGATAATTAAGAGGGAGATTTCCGTGTGTCAGACACGCGTATGAACTACGAATACGAATCTCGGATCGAGTAGGGCATCACATGTGTGCCTATAAGTGTGACCGAGTATAAAAGCTAGAGCATTTAATAACGAAGCCACACACTGCGACCGACTGGACTTCTTCTACGACATCACAAGACCATCCCAACCATTAACCATGAGACTGCTCGTAAGTTTGCCCATAAATTAACACTCTACTCGCCGACCATTAGAAGTATCGATACCTCAAGTATTTTCTTTATACAGTAATTTTTACCTTAATAATAATTATTTAATTTCATTAAATTTTCGATTATTATTGATTTGCATGTATTTTATAAGTTGAATATATTATGAGTTGAGATATCAGCAGTATAATTTCAAATGAGCTTTAATTTATTAATTGTTTTTATTTTTTTTTTAAAGATTTGAATCAATGGTTGGATGTTGTGAGTATATGAATTTTCTCGGTACTCGATTGGTCAATCGAAGAGCAATATTCTTTACTTTAGTGTTAATTTTCCAATTACATAATGACATTAACATATTTATAAAATTAGAATATAAAAAATTATTGATTTTTCAACTTTTTATAACAATAATTTTATTTATTTTACTCAACTTTGTAAATAACGTTGTTGTGAAATATTCGATATCATATTCACAATTTAATTTATTTCTATTTTTCCAAATTAGCTTTCTAAGATATATTGCTGTAAGAAGACAGTTTTTTAATTCAGTATATATATAATAATCCTACAACTTATATAGAAATATAAAAAAATTCTTATTGTAATTTGAATTCTCAAGTCATATTCTTCATTCTAATATATTATGTTACAAGGTTTTGTTTTTTTTTCAGTAATACGTAATTTATTGAATATTTTAATTAATAATTTTATTTAAAAACAATTAAAAATTTGTATTTAACATACATATGTAATTTCATTATTCAAAAGAATTATATGCTAAACTATGAAATGAAAAAGCTTTTGATTATTTCTAAAAGAGAGGCTAACATTAGTTTTAACAATATTATTTATAATAAGTTCATTTTAATAATTTGCCCTGGTATAGTGATTATAATCGATAGACTCGTATATAGCTGCTTACAAATTGTTGTTATTATTATATATTGATACTTTTTTATTGTTAATTTTCATCAATTAAAATTATTAATTGTATATTTTAATAACACTGTGTGTTTTAATTCAATTAAAAATGTTTAATTATTGGAATATTTATTATTGTTTATGTCTTGAAATACGAATTATGTATTAGCACATTTTTATTGATAATAATAATAATAATAATAATAATATTAATAATAATAATAATAAGAGGATGAATAAATCAAAAATTTAAAAATGATATACATATTTATCATAAGTGCTTCATTTTTATTAGATTGCTATGTATGTATTTATGTGTCTGTATGTGTGTAAGCGCGCACGTGTATTATAAATAGAATTATCATGTATTAGTAATTAAAATTTGACATTAAAGGCTAGTAGTTAATTAATGTGTACTTAATAATCATAGTGGAATAATTTGATTACAGATTGATTGAATATACAAGAATAAATCAATCATAATACGAATATGGATGAATATCAAATTTCTCTAACTGCAATAATTACAAAATTACGTGATAGAAATATTTTCGAATATATTAACTAAGCGAATAATAGCTTAAAATAATGAATTGATATCTTATATAAATATAATTAAAGCAAACTTTCTCGTTTTTTTTGAAAAATACTTTAACGTAATGCTATTCAATTACAAATTTATAAATGTATCAAATTCCTATCTTAAATAGTTTTTTTTCTAACTCATTACATCCATTTACGGAAACTATCTAGTGTGACGGTCTGCATTCGAATTAAACATCATATACAATATAATGTTGCTTTATGTCGTTTCGTAGTTTTTTTCAAATTACCATTTTATATTGTAATGAAGTTTATTTCATTAAAATTATTATTTACAAGAGTCAAAAACGTAGTTTATGTACAATAAAAAAAGAATGTTGGATAATGTAACTAAGATGTATGTTACTTCAGAAATTTGTATCTAATAATTATCATTATAGCTTAGATAGGCATGTTGACTTTCTTGATTAATCGAATATACAATGTACTTTGTTAATGAAATATTCCTTTGGATTAATTTGAATTAGCATAATATTTGCTATATCGATGAATATTTTTTTCTTCAATTTTAATCGTTAACTTTTATATATTAATTTAATGTCCGTTGATTTCAACGTATTTATTCGTGAATGTTAGTTGTTAGTTATTTTATCTTAATTAAAGTATCATTTAACGGAAAAAGTAAATAACGCAGGAAAGAACAACCTGATAATTATTATATATTGATCTTGTCGAACCATGTCGAATACAGCTTAAATAATAATTGTTCAGTAATTTCATAAGTTAAGGTATAGATTAAGCTTCTTTACGCACGTCTTGTTACAGGCGACATTGCTCGTTACGGGGGTCTTAGGACTAGTATGCGGCTCAAGAATCAAGTCGACGAGACTTAGCAGAGAGTCAAAATGGGACATAATTCACCATGAGTATCACGGACCTCCGGCACCTCTTGCGGAGGATGGCCGTGTCATCGATACTCCCGAGGTCGCGAAGGCGCGATCGAATCATTTAGCTATCTACGCGGAAACGGTAGCCGAGCACGTAAAAAAAATGTCCGAGTGGGCAAAGAAGGAAGTTTCTAAGGCGAGCGATGATACGGGAGAGTCAGACAAATCAAAGGTTGAGGCTGCGGAAGTGGTTGAGCAACGACCGCAAGAGACTCCGGTAGAGTCGGCGCCAGTTCAGGAAGTTGAGTCGGAAGGTTCGGCTGATGCAGCACCGGAGGTCGAAGAAACGAAGCCCGTAGTAGAAGCTGAAGGTACGAACGAAGTCAGCTCTCGGAAGGCTCCGAATTTCCAGTATCTGGTGTACGAGGGTCCGCCTGCAACAATTGGTGAAAACGGTCTTGTACAAGATACTCCAGAGGTAAAGTACTATTTTCGAATAGTGTATTGAGCACTTGCAGCGCTTGAAGTAAGTTAGGTTTGCATGGGCATGTAGCGTACATTATTTCTCAGGTAGTTAAATTAATCGTAATAATTCATTATTTTGTTTATTCGTGTAGTTTATGAATTGTTTAGTAATTAAAATAAATTTGACTGTCTTCAAAATGAATACTGATATATATGTCAATATTTGATTAATATCAAAGTCAAATGTTATTATATTTATTATGCTTTATTAGATCTCCATTACATAGAGAATGCAACTGCATTTGCTTTATCGATAAAAGGGTTATTAATTTTTTATTAAATTATGATTTTATGATATTATTAAAAAAAGTACACTCTTAAATCATTTACCTCACTGATTTACATTCTAAATGGTTGTTTTTCTTTTTTTTTTTAATATTATCATTTTACTCTTTGCCAATAATTTTATATTATTAATATATTATATTATTAAAATAGTTATTTTTCGAAAGCTTATATAATAATAAAAGTTATTATTGAGTTTCTACGCAATAATTGCTTAAGTTTATTTCCATTAATGATTTTCATGGTTTACGGTTGATAATCATGGTTTTCAAATTCAGCTTTTGCATTTCTAGTCGAACTTTATTGACAATAGTAGAAATTAGCGACAATTTGGGTACGGAAAAATTTGCGTACAAAAAGTGAATGGCCAATATAGATTTTTTGTATTATAAAAGTAAATTTTTATTTGAAAATTTTCTGCACTTATAGGTACAGAAAGCAAAAGAAGCTCATTTATTGGCATACCAACAAGCCAGAGAGCTCACTGAACTCAACGATGAACCAAAGACGGAGGGAGCTACGGAGGATTTAGAGTTATACGAGATGCGAAATAGAGATTTTTATCCTTCCGCACCGGTGCAATTGTTCTATTCCACAAATAGACCCGTTGGATCCATAGCACAAGGTGCTCCAATTAGTGAATACGGACACGTCATCGACACACTGGAAGTACAACGGGCTAAAGCCAAGCATAGAAGAGCTCACGAGTATGCTCAATACATAGGCAAGCAATGTCCTGCTGAGGAGAATACCATTTGAGAGTAACCTAATTAATCGAAGCGAATTAAAAATTGAGCGATAGGCATTTCGATATGTTTATTCCATTAATACTGTCAAATATGTATACATTTTGTCGAACTTAAATTTATGGGTTCTTAAGCTTAATGATATATCATAACGATTGACTAATTAGTTATTGCTTAAAACATCGAAAGAACAAAAATGTATATTCATTAATTATTCACTAATATTTGTATATTCTTTTATAATT